GCCTCCTTGGGCTTTGTCAGGAAGAAGCCTTTGGAGGAGAAGGACCAGGTGCCACCCGTGCTGCCAGGAAAGACAGGGCTCAGCTGCAAGGCAGCCGACAGCCACCCCAGGACAGTGCCTCCTCTCCCGCAGCACTGTCGCCTTCCCTGCCCCCCCACACCAGGAGAGTGGAGAAGTCACAATTAGCCCATGGAAAGCAACGGGGTCATCGCTACCAGCTTCAGCAGGTGCTGACAGAGCGGGCCTTGCACCCGCTGGGATGCTGTAGGAGACACCAGCTTGTCTCATTCCTTACCAAGATCAGCTCCAGGCACGGAGTAGTCTGCTACCCCAAGAACATGCACTTGCTTATGAACGGCATAAAACTCAAAGCACCAATGCGTCAACTGCTGTGGCGGCCAAGAAATAGGACACTGAGCTCCAAGCCCTGATGACTGATACTACAAGAAGCCACATCTTGTGCTGAAGCCCCCCCATGTCCCTGGCTGGTGCTGTGAAGTCTCCAGCTCAGCTAATTCAGCCCTCAGGATGAGCTGGAGTGCAGATCCCTCAGCAGAGGACACACTGCATGCCCAGTCCCCCTCTGTTTCCCAAGGGCTCACTCCCAGCAGAAATGAAATGCAGCTCAAGTGTCCAAAGAGAAGTGCTGTGAGCAGAGACACATACAGAAAATGCATGCACGCATGGCAGAGAAATGACACAGTGAAGGATGAACACACTGAGACAAGACAGAGAAGGATGAACTCAATTCTTTTTTCATTTTCTACATTTATTTTTATTAGACAGATGAATGCATGGAAGTGATGGCCAAGAAATGAAACAACATATTGCTCTGATTTCCAATGGAAACAAACAATTTCTTGGCTGGCACAAAGTGAAGTTCAGTTTGTACCGTGGTCACACTTTGTACCAGGCGACCTTCCTCTTCAGGGACTGAAGAGCGAGGGACCGAGGAGTGGTACACTGGGTCATGCCAGCTTATTCACCCTGAAAGCAGCAGAGAGCCAGCCTCTGCCTGCAAGTGTAGGACTGGTGTTTCACAAGCACAGTGACTCCAGAGCATGTGGTATTAACCCATGTCAGGGGCACAGCGACGCAAAGCTGGGAGGATGAAAAAAAAAAAAATCAGAGAAAGGAAAGGATAGAGAGAACACAAAAAGCAAAGCTGCAGACAGAACAGAAGTAGAATCAGAGGGACTGACTGGAACACACAGATTTGTTATTTATTATTTATACCCTGACTTGATCTTCCACATGTTACTACATACCGGCAATCCCAACATGCTCAGTGCTCCATGTTATACAAACTCGGAGGAGACTGTAGAGCTCATCGCATCCAAGTAGCTGTGGACCAACCCTGTGAAGTTCCTGAGTATCTTTCAGTGCTCTTATATCAAGGTAGGTTGATGGTGCTCAGTACCTCACTTAAAAAAACCCTTGTGGTTTTAAGCAGAATTGAAAAATTTATGGTCTGAGCCTGCTCACCTTTATGACATTGCAAAATTTGCCGTTGCTTCCACTGGGAATAAGAGCAGAGACTTAGCAAGCAGACCTTGACATCAGAGCAAGACGACTCATGCACCTTGGTTTCAATTCCTCTAAGAAGGTTTATCACTGTTAGGTTAACAGAGGTCATGAAAATCTCCCCAGCTCAGCTGCAAAGCGAAGGAGACTAGTTCTGCAGTGATATCCGATCAGACCATGGAACCCTGATTCTGCCTCTGATAACACACACAGGGAGGGCAAGAATTGCTGTTCAAAGCTGTTCGGGACACAGCTATCGCCTGACTATCTCCCTGCTCACGAGGGGTTGGGTCTGCATGCACCCTGGTAGCTGCGGGCTCCCATCCAGCTTTCTCCATTTCGTGTAAAATCGTACCAGTAGTAAAAATGGATAAACAATATGAACCAGAGTGAAGAAGCTTCCCGGACCTCAGTGCTTCCCACCCAGTCCCTCTACTTCCCCTAAATTGTAACAAACAGGGAAGAAGCTTTTCTGCCCCCCCCAATTCCCATTACTGGGCTTTGCAGGAATCTTCCCACTTCTGGTAATCATTGGCTGGGTCCAGACGCACCGGGGTTTCCCGGCAAAGCCTGGAATCTTCCTGAGCTCTTTAGCACTAACATAGTATTTTAGGTTGCCTCATTCTAAAGAGCAAAAGAAGAAGAAACCACTACTTAAACTTTTAAGTCAGCTCTTAACACCTCTGCCCTGGTTCTTCCTTGCCTCTGGGCTACAAGCCAGTGACAACTGGAACTACCTCCTATTAGATTTTTAACAACAGAAAATAGAAGAGCAGGAAAAAGACAAGACAAGAGGCAGGAAGGATTTGATAAAAGAAACACAAAGCCACGGCTGCATCTCTCAAGCCCTCCTGCAGGCTCTTGCTGCGCCTGCACACCTAGCTCATCATGCGGGGGAGTCACAGGGGAGAGCAGAGCTTTCCACTGATCATCTCCAACATGCCAGGGGGAATTGGGAGTGTCATTAAAATTCAAAGGGTCAACTAAACCTTCAGAAACACTCATCCTACTGTTCTCACAAGAAGTCTACTCCGCTCTTCTGCCTGTGGCTCCTTTGCACTGGCTAGGAGGTGCAGGATACTTGAAGTGAGGGGTGCACTCCTCTCAGGGGGTGCCCCGGGTGAACCCCTTGGCAGAGTGCACATCCCCCTGAACGGATAGACACCAGCGTGGATGCATTTTGAGGTTGGTCACCTTGCCCTGCTCCCAGCAGGGTCATCCACCTCTGCCCTGAGGAAGGCTGATTTGAACCCAAAGGATTGGGAGGGCAGAGCTGTACTCTGCCTTGTGCCAGCCCAGCTCCTGGAGGACCAGGAGGCAGGCAGAGGCAGCCGGGCTGCCTGATCTCTGGGGGGGGCTCAGAACAGCCAGACGGAATCCCCCTGTCCGAGGTGTGCCGGGAGGGAGCCAGGGCCCTGCACCCCGAGTCCGGCACAGCCAGCGGCCTGACTCCGGCAGCACTACCATGCCTGGGAAGTGACATCTGCTGCTCCAGAAGCCATGGCAACTTGCAGGAAGCAGGCTGCTGGCAGAGCCGGCATGGGAAACCTAAAGCAGCACTGACACCTTCAGGAAGGGGAGACGAAGCTCAACACCAGCCTCAGCTTGTCTTTTCCCTGCGCTGTGCCCTGCAGGGCTCAGAGCCTACTTGGGAGGTTCCTTCTTGAGCTGGCTCCTGCGATCCAGCTTGCTCATGACCTGCGTGATGTCCACGGTCGTGGCGGCTTCTTTGGCTTTGGCCTCTTCCTCCTGCTGCCTCAGGATGACAGGGCTGGGGCTGGAGCGGAGGTGACGGCGTCCAAATGGGAAAGTGGAGCTGGGCAGAGAGAGAGAGAAGCAGGGTGTTACTGAGAGGTAGAAGGACATCAAAAGCTCACCACTGTCTGCTCAGACACAGAGATGGACGTGCCACTGTCACCCACACAACAAGAAGGAAGTGCAAATGTGGACGAGATGGTTTAAAGCAGGACTTGGTAACTCAGTGCCACACATTGGCTACAGAACTGCTGAAAGCATATAGTCCTGTTACTGGTCGCAATAGTGTGAAAGTCCATGATTCCTCTTTCTTGCTTGCTAGGTTGAGGAGTGGAAGAGGAACAGAGAAAGAAGCACACCACCCAGTCTGGCTCTGACATTGTACCCTCAGCTTTAAGAAGCAACTGCAGTTCAAATGGCCAAAATTTGCTATGCAACCTTCATCTCGGTCTGGAAAAAGCCATTTCAAGCCTGCCCCTTCTCAGGCCATCTACCTTGTGCTAGTAGTCACTCGCAGGTGAGATGCTGTTTGTGAGATGCTGATGCCTGGGGCTGCCTGACACCTTCACTTCGCTGGGGGTCAGCAGCTCTGTCCAGCAGAGCAGAACCCGTGGACAACCCTGCCATGACTCTGTGTCACCTCTGGCAGCCAACGTTTCGTGGGCAGGAGTTTTCCCATGCCCTGTACACAGTGCCCTCTCCTTCTAGGAAGAGAGCCATGATTAATTCAACAATCAAACCTTTTCTAGACAGGCTCAACAGACAAGGCAGCCGAGCAATCATCAAGTCAATTCTGACTGTACACAAGCCACTTCCAAAGGGCTCACAAATAAAGAGCATAATCAGTGCCAAAGTAAGGCATCTTCTTAGTGAAAAATTTTATTTAATTAAGCGAACATCTAAATCACAGTAATTTTGCTGCAACTCAGGCTTTTTCTACCCTTGCTACAACAAGAATGACAAAACCCACAATTACATCCAGTTTCACTTGCCTTTTTTTGACAGTCTCTTGTGGCACAACAGCCTTGGCCAGCATTTCCTTGTATATTGGAGACTTTAAATAGCGGCCGTAGGAGTCCTACTAGGAGAAAAAAAGAGAAACTGGTAGTTATGGGCTGTGAACACCCTTATTAAAATCACCACCAAATACAGCTGCTCAGGAGCCAGAGAGGCTGGGAACTAGATAATCTCCCCCAGCAGCCCAAGGGACTTTGCATCTTTCAGGCAAATGAAGCTATTTAAACCAATACCTTTCATCTCGGTGTAAAATTCCCAGGATTTTCCTTCTCACAATAAATCTTCCCAGGTAAGATCCAGACCAAAAAGTCTGAACTGAGCTTAGCCCAGGCCAGTGGCGTCACTGCAGGGTGAAGTGCTCATGTTTCAGGGGCCAAACTTTTCAGCCACTGATGGATATCAGTTCTGCTGCTTTCAGTGTCAGTGTGCACTAGCTGCTGCTCTGGCCCATAATGCTCCTTCCTGCTTAGGGTAGTTTGTATTGCTTATGAGGAGGAGTTACAGGTTATTTGTGGTCACCGTGATCTAACGAAAGCCATGACATACTGTATGCTGACATCAGGTCCCAGTGTGCTGCAACAGTCAGACCTAAAAAAAGGGTGTCCATCAACATAACTGCAGAAAAATTGTGAAAAAACCTCAGTAAAACTTGAAACAGGCCATGTCTGCTTATGCTCTTGGTACAAGACTCATGCGGTCATATCGCAATTGCTACCACCTTTCCCCTCCACTGCTGATATCCAGTTGGATACACACATCCCACCATAGGGATACCTGACATGGCACGTAAAGCGGTACTAACTGAGTAAAGTTAAAAGATTGTTCAAGCTTTGAACGAGCTGGTGACCAAGCTGGTATTAGAAAGTAGGACTTCCAGCAGACACCTGACCTCCACCACCCTGGAGACAGGCTGCCTTAGAGGGAAGAAGCAGCAGCAGCAAAATACAAAGGCCTGCACCAGTGCTGCTTAAGTCAGCAAATTTGAGGGATTTTCAAACAAAGGCCACTTGAAAGCAACAGCTGATAGCACACAAAGGTGTGGAAAGCCCAGAGAACTGGAATCCCCCTATGGCTTCGGAAACAAACAACAAACCTTTTTCATCAGCATGTAAATGTGGGTCTGAGCAGCATCTAAAACATAACGATGAGGGTGCTGGAGGCCTTTGACCGTGATGCCCATTGTTGTGCCATCAATGTTAATCCAGCGCCTTGCTCCTGGAGCCAGGAAGAGCCTGCAAGGAGGAGGAATCAACAGTGCCATGAACAACTGGAGAATTCCTGGAGATCTCTCTGTCTATGCATGAAAGGAAAACTCCCTTCAGCTCCCCAGTACAATTTGCTGTCCTGATCTTGGTCAGTCAATCTCCTCTTCAACAGTACAACAGGCAGTCACTTCCTCCTCCACTGTTAACATACAGTATAAACCAAATTTTAGCCCACTGGAAGCAAAAAGGGTCTCTCCACTCTCCCAGTGGCAGCCCCGAGATCTTTGCTATTCCACACCTTGATTTAAATTACATGCTAAAACGTAAATGTAATTGTGGAGAACAGAGTGGAAAAGTATGTAACAAAACAATACTTATGCTCTCACCTTCAAAAGCTTCTTTCCTACTTGGGGACATAGGATGACAGCTTAGAAAACTTTCAGGAATGAATCATTTGGAGAACAACAACGTGTGGAAGAAGGTGATGGGACTCGTAGGAAGAGTTTAAGAACATAAAATTATCATACTCACTTGTAAATTTCTTCTGCTTTTTCTTTGACCTTGGATTGGTCTCCATACTTGAGATCCTCACAGGCTTCCCAGAAACTCAGATTCTCTCCTGCACAACAAGGACTCAGTCAGCAGAGAGCAAGACTGAGGAAAGCGCAATCCCATTTATTAACTCCTAAACTGAATTTGTTTGACTCAATACACATCGGCCCCAATTCAGTCTCTCCAAATCTTACAGCCACCTTGAAACCCTCCTTGGGACTGAAGGAGGAAAAGAGCTTTCCCCTGCACTGAGCTCAGGGACAAGTGACACCTGTAAGAGCCTGTGAATCCAGCCAGCTCCAGCTCACACAGGGAGTACTGTGGGCTGTATTTTGTGTCCTGTGCCACTAGATGGTATTGCATGCACTGCCTGCACAGCCATCGCCTCCAAAGTCACTTCTCCTTCCTTTGCTTCGTGACTTTGTCACTGTCTGGCTCACAGCACCTACTGCAAAGGCAGGGATTCCTGCCCCTGCCCTCTCTCAGCTGTGCAGCATCCCGCTATGTGGCCAACGCAGGGGCAAAGACAGAGACACAGTAGACCCACCGCTGAACTCCTTCTTCAGGAAGAGCTGGAAGTTCTGCCGACCTTTCGGGTCTCGTATCAGCTCACTGAAGTTGAAGGCCCATCGCTCCACACGCATTCTGGTGGGGATTTCCACTCTGCACAGGTTGAAAACAAACAGCACAGCCAGTTTCACGCGGCCCATCTAATTGGCAGATTAATTAAAACCAAAATGCCCTTTGCTGGAATGCCAAGAGGCTTCTCAGCACTCCGTTTTCCAGAATGCTATAATAATGCTCCTGAAGTCAGTCCACTAAGTAAGTCATAATTACACAACTTGGTACACAGTGAGATGAGGATTTATCTTGGATTTATACTGCTCTCACAATAACGGCCCAGCTCCAGCTTTGCTGGAGGTTTGACTCAGTCCTTTTCCAGAGAAGGCACTGGTTGTTGCCCAGAGCTTTGCTTCTCATAAAGGCATTCTGTGAAGGCATCCTCTGGGGCTGTCTAACGGGATATTATCACTCTAACAGGACTGCTGGTCTCAAATGAGAACCAGTAATCTGTCGAATGCTTCAAGCCCAGAGATGCCACTGTATAATCAGCAAATGCTACCGGAATGGAAAACCAAGGGAGACCTCGGAGAAGGGACGGACCGCCAGTATGTGCCTCCAACCCAAACCCTCTCCTACAAAAGCAGCCTGAGGTGTGTGCAAAGACCATGGGCCAGTAGTTGAACCCGGAATTGCTACACCATTGGCAGCACCCAATTCAGCAAGGTTAACACTAAACCAAGTGCTATAGCTGAGCATGACTGGTCATATTCCATTCCTGGGCTAGTAAAAGTGGACTTCACTCATCCAAGGGAAGGACTAGACCCACTCAGCAGGGGCTGAGGTCATACTCCCATCATTAGTTTAGGAATTTCTGTAATGTTAAGGAAGGTTCCACTTAAAGAAGATAACGCTGGAAGTTCAGCATGGATATCCCAAGAGACAGCGTCTTTAGCACGGCCAAGCTATGTCAGAAAGGGAACGCTTCCCTGCTCATGATCAGAGACCAGATATCATGACAAAATCAGTGGTTCCCTTTTCTGATTTCTATCAGCAAAAAGGTCAGCGTAAACCACAAGCTGGCAAAAGAATACAAATACATACAGTTTTGCATTGAGATCCCAGAACTCAGGATCATCTGTTATCCAGGGGTTGCTGGGGAGACATCCAGACAAGATAGGATCATTGGAGAGGAACTGCTCAGAGTACTTCACAAGCCTGCAAGTAAATACAACAAAATCAAAATATTAGTTTACAGGCAGAATTGCAGCCAGCCCCATTACAACCAAGTAAGTGATTGCAAAGACTACAGATATCTTCAGAGGTGCAGCCCTGTCAGCACGGGGATCTGAAATGTAGCCCTTGCCTTAGTAGAAAAATTGATTCATTAGCCCAGTTAATCTTTTCCGTTTCCCAAACAGTAATCTCCTGGTTGTCTTTCAAAGCAGTGATTTTGTCAGTTCAAGTGCTGGGAGATACAAGACCCTTCCATCACCTCCTGTTGCCTCTTCATTTCAAGAAAGTGGGACTACCCCCAGATGGCTTCTGTCTCCTTCTCCAGCCAGTGGGCAAAGGCCTGATCCTGCACCATATTGTGCCACACATTATGGAGAGGAAAAAATGTCAAAGAGGAGGAAAGCAAATGCTGTATTCGCTCAGGGTGGGTTCTCTGCAGCCTTCCCATGGGGTGTGGGAGAGCCCGGGGAGCTCCCAGAGAGGTGAGGGAGTGCTGAGGGCACATGCCAGCTGCTCCTTTCCTCCACTCACCTACCGCATGGCTCATTCCTCTGCAAATGACTCTGAGGGCTTGGCACAAAGCAAAAATGTCTCTATCCTAGCAGGAACCTGACAAACACCTCTCTTACCTTCTAAGTTGGCCAGACTTGTAATTACAACAGATTTCACCGATGTCCTGGAATTTTCAGCATTCTCCCCTCTTCTTCATTCTTGAAAAAAATCATCTGGTTTCTGCGTTTAAAATTCCTTCCAGGCCAAACTGCTTTCATGTGCTCAAAGCTGAGAGCATACTGTCCAAGTACCCGTTGCTAACAGGCACTTTGGCAAGATCCTGCAATTATACAATGCTGCGGCACAAAGCATACCACAGGTTTGGCACAGAAGTGCTTGATCCTATCTTCTCACTGGAAATGCCAAGGCATTCAGCACCTGAATATTTCACTCCAATCCATATACTCTAATCAAGCTACAAATCTAAACCTGTCAACTCAGGTAACATTACCCTGTCCTTTTAATGATTAGTGCTTTGCAGCTCCTCCTAAATCAATGCAATGCTGTGATGCATGCACACTGTTTAGCTGTTGCTCTTATTCTCATCAATAATAATTTGATTTGGACACAATCCTGCAGCTGAGACGGAGATTCAAATTTCCGGAGGATTTTTTTATCTAGGCGATAGGCATTATCCATCAGAAGACTAGGACTAATGTGTGAAAAGCTCCATTGCCAACCAGTTAAGCACCACAAAATTCCTGGCAGGTAGTCATGTGTCCCCAGCTCCAGCTCACAAATTGGAAAATTGAGGCAGGAGAGCTTTAAGTGACCTGGGAGTCAGAGACAGATGAAATGAGCAGAAGTGCTGGCGCCTTGCAAGTTGTGGTTCTCAGAAGACAGCACTGCTTCCCAGACTCTTCCTCCCATTTCATTCATCCACAACTGTCTTCTCCCAGGGAACAGGCCTGAGCACGTTGCCTATCTCAGATTCGATATGAATCTCTGGGTGGCAATAACTATGTACCACAGACTGGTGGTATGGACTGGACCTCCAGACAACTGGCCAGCACAGAAGACTCCAGGTAAGAAATGCCTGTGGCAAAGGCACTAACGGCTAATGCTAGGACTGGGAGCTTTGCACTTAATTGGCTTCATCAGGAATCTGATCAGGAAACACTCCCACCGAGAAGAGGAATTGCTAATTAATTGCTCGGCTGTTCACAGAGGCACGTGTTCCTTCATAATATAGGATAACCAGAGACTTCCCCAGCTCTACTGCCTTCTGGTGAGCATCGCCACATGAGCAAGAACACTCAGTGGGGCTGAATCCAGCCCAGCAGGCTGGGGACCAGGGACAGGAGGATCAGTCTGTCTCCGCTGCTCACTCACCCTGCACAGGAACAGGCACGGGACGGACACACTGCTATATCCTCGCCAGGCAGCCTCCATGCCGCTGCCTTCCCAGACTGCAGAGCTCTGCTGGCTCCCAAGCACCACCGTCCAGTCCTGACCAGCCTGAACATCTCTTGATTTCAGAGGGAATCTCAACCAAGAGACTGGTGCTGCTCTAAATTCATAGCAAAGCTCCCCTTAGCTCTGAGAGAGACTCTTTATCATGACTGGGACTCTGACCCCTCCTCTGCCTTATGCCTCCTGGCCCAGGCAACAACACACAGCCCAGACAGCACAAACCACACTGCATGTGGCCACCACATCAATTCCCCTGAGTCACCAGCTGCCAGAGCAGATAGCTTAATCATCTCACCAGGAGATGAGCACTGAAGACTAATTAATGTGTGGACAGAAGGAAATCAGGACTTACCCTCCGAGAGAGACCGAAGATTTCACTCTGGACTTCATGATGGCTTGCTGATAGTACATGATCTGAGAGGAATCAGACACATCCATGGTTAGGAGCATGGAGATGTGAAGACAAGGCCGTCTCTATCTGAACCTCAAACACGCCCTCTCCCAGGCAGTGATGCTAACTACAACAGGGACTGCTTCTTCCCTAATTATTGGATGTCCAAGGAATCAGAGAATCCCTAAACTGTCTTAGTAAAATGTCTGCTTTCACTGAGCTTGTGTCAGAGGAGCATTTTGCAATGTGCAAGTAATTAAAAAGCGCCCCCCATGCTATATAAAAATTGGATAACAGCCACCATCCTAGGCGCCTACAAATGCTCTGGATGATTTAGCATGTAATTATCATTGATCCTTGGCTGTCTCTACACTGGCGCCACTGGATGCATCTCTTACGATTTCCCCACCGCTAATTTTGATCTATTGGATTTTAGCCCTGGTGTCTGTCCTTGCTTGAGCCTTCCCGTCACCGGGAGAGCTGCTGGCTGCCTGCAGTGGGAAGTGCAGAGGCAGGAAGTGTCGTGAAAGCACACTGACCAAAAGATCCATGGGGCAGAGATTCTGCCAGCCAAACCCAGGTGTTTTTAAACATGGGGGCTTTGAGCCCCCATGCAACACTGATGTAAGCAATACATACAGGAGAAACACCTAGAAGTGAGGGAAGGACCACTTACTTCTCTCCTGTAAACATCCATCGTTTTTTTCTGTAAAATAAAGAAGCAAAAATCGTTAAATTGCGATGGGTGCTTTCACTTGCCTTTTTTGAGACATGAAAACACCATTGCAGGGCTGCTGTTGTGCAGTGCTCTCCAATTAATTCTCATTACAATTAAAATCAAACACAGCAGCTCAGCTAATCAGAGTATCATCAAAGCTAAGAGCATCCACACACCGTAAATCGTTCCATTAGCTGTATTTACTGTTTAGCATTGCTTCTTCCATCACAGGCTGCCTGTATGCCTTCAATTAAGGGGTTATTCTAATGGAGTTAAAATAGATTCGTTTACAAGACACAGATTAGATCATTCAATATTAGCTAAAGGAGACAGGAACCAACACATTGCAAAATATAAACACCACAATTAAAAGCCTCAGAAGCAGTATCTGCTGTGCAAAGGGTGCTTATGTTGTGATTTGAATAACTCAGACTATGTTACATGTCATCCACAAATGAGCAAGCAATTGAAGGCAAGAAATTAACTGCAGGGTGTTTATTCACACCGCTTCCTTTGAAGCACAGTTACTTTGTGTGAAGTAGACTCGAGGAAGGCGAGGGAAAGACAGGCTAAGTCAGGGATGCTCCCGGCAAGCCTTTAAAGGCTTATAAAGGGTATCAGTTTTGCGTCTCCCATTTTAGCCAACAAAACTCATGCCACTAATCTGCAGTCCAGAAGTATCCTATCGTGATAACCCTGTGGCAGACACAGGTCTGCAGAGTGCCCTGAGGACGTGCAGTTGGTGAGCGATGAGGGGGGATGAAGCATCTGGTACTGAATGCCCCAGGCACGCCGCTTCTCCCCGAAGAACCTGCACCCTGAGTTGCCCCTATTTTGGGAAATGCAAGACACTCTCCCAGGGCTGCTTTGTGAGGGGACCATCGTGGGGACACTGGCACAGATCTGCTTTTGCATTTTAACTATCGTCGCTGGTCCTGCTCAGGAGGGAGAAACTGTTCTCTGTATGGAAGAAAAATATGCATATTTTGCTGAAACTTGGTTGTTTTGAGAGGGCACACTCACCGTTTCAGCAGCAGGAGCCAGATATGCAGCAGATCAGCCAATCTGTACAGCACTATCATGAAGCCAGCCCACAAACCTAGCCTGGCCAACGTAGTACTAACAGAAAACCTGACTGTGGCATTGCAAGGGGAGGAAGCTTTTTCTGCTGGAAATACCATGACCAGCTTTGAATGACCGCAGCGCACATAATCTCTGCAGGGACAAACAGGTAAGCAAACAGCAGCAATGTTCTGCTGGCTACGCACAAGGAGTTGTGTGACAGGGGTTAAGGGCTGGCACATCAAGGGGAGCAAAAAGCTCTTGGACAACTCTTGGACAGCTCTTGGATCATTGGTCATAGGGCTGTACAACCCCCCTTGCTCATTCAAAGGCTCCTGGGACATCTTACATAAACAATGGAGGACACACGGACGAAAGAACAGCTTTTCACCATTCTCTGCTCTTAGCTACACCTCTGATGCCAGGCCAGCTTCCATGTACACACCATTGCTTCCCCCCATTCCTACAGTGTCATCATTGTTTCAGATAGACTGAAGAAATGGGAGGCAAAAAAAAAAAAAAAAAAAAAAAAAAATCACCTGCTTGTGCAGAGAAACTCTCTGCTTTTACCGTCCTAGAAGTGTCCTCTTTAGAGAACTTTGTTTCTGTTTCAGGCCAGCTATTTCCTGCACAATAGGAGTTCACTATCTCCTTGGGGAACCCCAGATACAAACCAGGCCCCATCAGATTTACAAGTGCCAGCTGAACTGTTCCATTGGATGGAACTTAAGTGCGGCTAGGGCATATTCTTTAGGAAAATCAACATGTTAAAATCATTAGGTTGCTTTAAAAGGCCCCTCATTTCTTCCTCTGTTTTGCCAAGTGGGTGCCTTGGACAGGCTTGGTGCAGCGGGGCAAGGAGAGGTGGATGCTGGCATAACGGCTTGAAGGCAGCTCACGTGGTAGTAAAGTTGTGTTATCTTCTACAGGGGTCTTAGAGGCAGGCAGCACACCACACACACACGAGACAAACAGCTGGTGGGAAAGAGAAGAAGAAAATAGTAAGTTAAACGCTACATAGAGCAAGAAAGGCATGAATTAAAATGCCATCACCACAGAAAAGTTATATGTGGGTGAGTAAAAATCAAAGCTAATGCCATGTCTGTAAACAAGGAAAGATTTTTTTTTTAAAGTGCATCCTACACCAAGGATCCCCTCCTGCCACAGCCAGAGTGTGTAGGTCAGCCCTCCGGACAGCTGGTCCTGGGAAAACCAGGGGGCCTTTGGCAGGGTGCTCCAGGGCAGGGAGGGGATTTGCCAAGGCTCGCACAGAAAAGGAGGCTATGGCATGAGAAGGGCTGAGCATCACCGAGTAGTGGCACACACTGAGCTGGAGTGGAATCAAAGGGGAGCCCAGGGCCGAACACCCTATCGAGGGCTACAGGTGCTGGCTGTGCTCAGCCCTGCCCAGTTCTCCAGTCCACAGTAACTGGGAACGATCTCAGCTACTGCACCCCAGAGCTGCACATTGTTTCATCCCCCTTTCTCCCAGCGCTCCCACGACCAGTTTCCAGCTTTGGTGCTGGTACAGGGGACCCTGAATACCCTCCATGTCCTACTGAGCACTGCCAGTTGTCCCCACCACCCTACCCATCCTTACACCCTGCTACCGACAGCAGTGATGCCAAAGTGCCCTGTACCACCCACCCACCCTCTCCCATTTGGAAGGAAATCATATTTGGAACAAAAGAGTCATTTCTTATAATAAGATTAATTTTGCAATGCCCTTAATGAGTGACTTATCGCAATTACCGCGGATAAGCTCCCCAGCCCCGCAGGCTTCAAATCAAAATGGCAATTAGTGAAGGACCTCGGTCTGTCTCAGGCGAGCGCTGCGTGCTGTTAAACACCCTCCTCCCCGAGACACACGGCAGCGCTTGGACACCCTGCAGGGCCTCGTGACACCCTGCTGACACCAGCTGAATGCTCCCCATGCTGCAAAGCTCAGCTGGGAGCCAGGCAGGACCTGCTCAAGAGCCCTGCATCTGGAGCTGATCTACACGGCTGAAGCCATGAGCTCCTACAGGAGCCGGGACATCTGCTAATTTCCAGCTAAGCATTCGCATGGACCTCCTCTGCTCTTAGTGTGGGTCTTCCTGACCACATTGTGGACATAATGGTCATTATGTTTTTGCCTGTCTGGCCACCATTCAGTGTTTACAGAGGCTGTAAACAGCTGGACAACAGCTTTTGTGTGTTTGTCCAGATGGAGCTTGGAGTGAAGAACAAGCACAGGCCACTGTTACCCAGCGCTCGCTTTGGACCAGGGCACTGAAATCACACCTGCACTCTGCCCGGAATGCCGCAGCGCTCTCCGTCCACATGCGCAGTTCAGCAAGCTGCGAGGATAACCCTGGGGATCCTGCGCAGAGCACCAGCCACTGAGGATGGGGCAGTGCCAGCACAGCTCAGCCTCCCTCCACGGCAGACTTTACTGCAAGAACCTGTGGGCACTGCCTGACACTGCAACGGCCAACAGCACTCCGGCACGCACACACGGACACCTTTTCCCGGGCGCAGATGTCGGCCTTTCCCTGCACGTGGCCAGCTGGGAGCCCTGAAAGCCAGAGGCAAACTTCTGAGTCTGGCATAAGATCATCTCCACATGCATCTCCACTGTGCTGCTGCTTCCAGCCCAACAGCTGGAGATCAGATCTGTAACACTCCATATGCCCAGTTTGTTCAAATTGCCGGTTTTCCCCTCTCTTGTTTATCTGCTTCTGACCCCGTTATTTCAAAAGATGGATGTGATGGATGCAGCAGACATTAAGCATTTATCAGGCAGCCAAACTGACAGAGACTTTGAAATGAAAGGCCAGCAATGACTACAATGATCTGTGGCTGATTTGCTGCATACAAGAAGCCAGGGCATTTCATTCAGTAGTCCCTGAATCTAGCGCAGTGATTTTTGGCTAAGCTAAAGCACCTTTCAGAAAGACTTTCTGGATACAGAAGGCAGCAAAAGCTGAGCACGTACCTGCAGGTGAGCCAGTGGGTTCTGACAGTTGCCTGGTAACTCTCTAAGCAGTGAGGCTCGATCTGAGCCTGAGACCTGGGCAACAAAAGGCTAAAGCATCCCTTAATTAGCTGTTCAATGGATGGCTACTTCTGCCTTATCCCTCCTGCCCAACTACAACTCGGAACTCATTATAACCATGAGGGATGCTCATGGGTCAGTAATGAAAGTCCCTTTCAAAGGAGTGCGATGTTTGGCTGAGCACCTGTTTATCCCCAGAGGACTCTATCAGTTAGGGAGGGAGCAGCCCACCAAAGGGTCTGAGGCAAGTGAAAGAGATGTTCGTGCCAATATCAGCTTCAAAGAAGTCATTCTGATGTCAAAAATTAATTGTCACTGGGAATATTTTCTTTCTCAGCTGTCAAGATAAAAGAAAACTAATTGGCCAAAAAAGTGAAGCTAGACTGAGCGGAAACAGAGACAGAAATCAAATAAATAGGCACTGGATTCACGCACTCATTTTCTGCTCTCGTCGTTTCACCTATGTCAGAGCCAGAGGCTGGGCCCGTGGAAAAAAATCAATAGAACTCCGCACTGCCTTCAGCAGGGGTAAAATATGGCCAGCAAAGCACAGTCCAGCTCAGCATTTACCAGCAGAGCTTGCGCCATCCTTTCTGCTCACCAAAGGCTGTTGAGCCACAGGTGTTTGTGAGAGCAGCCTGTGGAAATAAAAAAAAGCTGCTAGTCCTAAGGTGGCTTTACATGGGCTTTTGGCTGTCTACTGTATTGTCAATCATTCTTCAAAAGCAAAAAGAGGAGCAAGAAGAAGAACACTCCCTCCTCAGCTCAGCCTCCAGAGATCAGCTTAAAAGAGAAAGGCAGTGAAGTCACCCCAGGCTGGTGTGCCCTCACGCCCTCCTTGCAGTCTCTGCTGACCATCTCTCTTCTGCCAGCGTGGGAACTGAACATCCCTCAGCTCACTTCCTCAGTGCTACCAAGCAGCTGGCAGATGGCTATGGGCTTTCAGACCGTTTGCAAACCTACGATCTCCTTCCATGTCAGCTGTAAAACTGTGGGCGAGAAGTTGGCTTACTCCTCTTTTCCATCCCTCTCCCTTTCCTCCACTCCTTTTCTCTTAAAAAAAAAACCCTATAAAAAAACCCAACCCTACATTTTGCTCATTTTCAGTCTCTATAGCAACAGAACACAGTTGGCCAAAGCAATTATCCTGCCTCTGCCTGATGAGATGTTTAAAGGCTGTTACAAAAATGAGAAGTTGTGGGAATACAGTGAGTGTGATTGCAGTAACATTTGCATTTAATTGCTGAGAGACACTTTGACTTCACTTCCAAATGAACAACATTAAGTGCGCCAGTGCAGGATCGCTTAAAAGGACTGATGGAGAAAGAGAAGAGCAGCTCCAGCTCATCTCCTGACTGCGTTTGTCTTATTGTGGACTCCGAGCCAGTCCCACCCAGTGACAGCCTCCACGGTCTCAGTTCATTAATTCTATTTCTTTATGGTCTAGCTACACGATACGCACTTTTAGGCAACATTTTGTGTCTCCTATCCAGCACACGAACTTCTCCATCTTCTTCCACACGTTACCCTTTGAGAGGTATTCTGTCATTTTATTTTAAACTCGGATCTTTCCTCTGATCCTTTACACCCCACCATGCCCCTCATCCATTCACCACTAATAAAAGGCAGCAACAAGCATCTGGAGGTAGAGGATTCCTTAATTCAGCTTCACCAGCAGAGAAAACATGTCCTGTAGCTAAACACTCACACTAAATGGTGTGGCAAAAAAGCTGACAAAGTATTTTCAAGCCAAAAGATGCTGCCAAAGCCTATTTTGAGGGCCCCACCCCCCGGACAATGAGACGGCTTCAACTTCTGGAATGTTTGGCTGTCACGGCTGAGCCAACTCACTCAGCCTGCGGTGCCCAAAAAAACCACAATCCCAGGGACATTGTCTCCATCCTCCTGAACAAATTCAGTCGGTGTGAAAAGTAAACTTGTCTCACCTGGTTTACCTTATTTTCATTGGGATCCGTTACGCGGTCTATTCCATACTCTAGGACGTCTAGCATGCCGGGCTGTTATGAACAAGAAACATCGATAGCTTGGTAACTCATTTGTTTTAAAGTTTGTGGTTCACACAAATGCACAAGGAGACCCCCGAGGGGCTCTGCTGCGAGCAGCTCCCAGCCAGCAGCGCCTGGGGGGGGCTCTGCCCCCCCAAACCTGGGAATGCTCCCCTCTGAGCACAGGTGCTGCAGCCAGACCTCCCTCCCTTGCACCTTTGGGAGCAACCACAGAGAAAGGTGCAGACTCAGGGCTGAGCCCTTCCCCGAGGAGGGGCGACGAGGTGCACAGCCCAGAGGCCATGCCCACGGCCATGCCCTCAGCCTGCGGGAGTTTGTCGCGGGGGGCTGCAGGGAGGGCACCGCCAAGGCACTAAAGCCACACGCCGTCATCCTCTACTTACAGGAGTTCGGTTCACAAGCCAGTAGGCTCTCTCCTGGCAGTCCAGGGCGTACCTGTCCGCCTTCTTCCGCTCCTTCCCTGCCCTGCAAAGCCAAGAACAGGACTTATCTCTACCAGGGGAATTAATGAATTTTTCTCTCCTGAAACCAGGGGGATGACAAAGGGGGGCACACCCCCAGCCTCCCCGACCCCTGGGTCCCAGCCTGACTGCGCACTGCTCTGATGCGGCCTCCTGACCACATCTTACCCCGGCTAATTCTGGACTGCAGATCATGCTGTTCACATGCCCACACATGACTGTAGCTTTTGAGAAATCACCATCTTCCTGAGCTCAGCTGGGAGCTGACACATCCTCTTTTGATTAGACAGACGGCCCCTTCGTACAGTTTTATGCTAACAACCCGCTACTTGCAGTCAGTCCTGCTGCCTCATGTTTATCCATCTCCGATGTCCCCAGGCACTATCTGAGGACTGCCATGCAGAGATACATCCTGGACACGTCTCATCCCCGTCTCACAGTAAAGGGGGGCATTTCTCACAAAAATGTTTTGGAAATGGTCCTGAGCAGTGTTCCCAGGCACTAAAACCCAAATCACCTCTACTATTAACTAGAAGAAGCACCAGCATGGTTTGGGCTTGGACCAACTAATTCTTTCCCAGACAAGTCCTGGGCACAATTTGGGACTTAGCATGAGCAAAGGAGCATTCCCAAAAGGCTGTTTGCATGTGGCCACCCTGCTGTGGTTCACAGGGTGGATGCGGGCTGTTCTGCACCAGTCTGCCCCAGCAGCAGCATCAAACAGCCTCAGACGTGTTTAATCTACCAGTTCAGACACAGTCTCGGTATCTAACTTTAAAACAGCATTTGGCATCTCTTAGCCCAAGTCTGACCTCAATTTACAAGAACAACAGTCTTGCGTTTAATGAGACAGTTATCTGATCAGCTGTATTCTGACGACTTGGCTACCATCCCAGAGAAGACAGAAACATTGCTGAACAGCAGAGGCAGTGCCTGCCATGCTGGGAGGTAAAAAAAGGTAGAAGGAATCCACAGAAGTACGAAAGATCCTATCTCCAAAGGAGTAATCCCATCTCATGTTCACTAAATTTCCTGGGAATTTGAAGGGTTCAGCTCCTAAAATCAAGTCATTTTGGTTGGGTGCCTAAGTATGTACTTCAGAGTTTTCTCCAGAAGTCCCTGCTGGCAACATTTACCGCTTCTTGATTCAGGCCCTTCAGTTCAGCCGTGGGACATGTGCAAGCAATAACTGAACCAGACCAGTTACAGGTCCCAAGTCCAGTGGCCCAATCCACAACTGCTCATGGACAACCCTGAGCTAAAAGAAGCTGTCTGAGGGCTTGCATGCTGCAGGATCAGACCCAGGCTTCCTCAGGGAGTCGCATCAGGTGCAAAATCTAAACGTTGCACACTTATGCATGTGCAAAAACCATTTGCAAAGAGGCAGGAAAGGCACCCAGCACTGCCTGTGCTCTCGCTCTCACAAACCACACTGATTCCACATCTTTGGCAGACAAATGTCAGGCAGGGGGAGAAACGCAGGTGCAGCGGCCGAGGGTGAGGCTTTGCAAGTAGGCGTCCAGTCATTTGAAAATGGCTGAAATCTTCACTCAAAGTATGAAGTCAACAAAGTTTCCTTTCTAAATGGAGAAACCCCCAGCTGATAGGAAAGGCAGGTTTGTTTCACAGTCTTGAGGGGCACTTGCAAGTTATTTCAAAGCTGCAGTTTACGTTTTTAAACTGTAATTTAACTGTGTATCAAGTCAGCAAAGCTCTGCCTCCTCATACCCTCCCCAATGATGCAAATAAGGGAACGCGAGTCCACTCACTTATACTGCTCTTTGGCCTGCATAATAACAAAATCCCACTTGTAGTTTATTTTTTGATTGAGCATGTTGTAATGTTCCTGGAACAAAAATAAAAAAGTAGTTAGCGTGAAAATTCTGGACAAGGCGCTCCCATGCTAAGGTTTTCTTGATTCTCCATAGCTCAGCTAGGCCAGGCTGGCAACCACGCCAAGAAATCCAGATTGGTCTGAACGTAATTACATGAATTGCAACAGTTCAAAAATACCACTGCAAGGAGAGCAATTACCCCTGCTAAAATTATCATTGCCTTCAGAGTATTTTCCTGTACTGGCCACTTCTTCACTTCCAAAATTTTGGCTTTTGACACTGCTGGAGTAACACCTCATGCAGTTGAAGAGGTGATTTTTTGCCGTGCTCCATTCATTAGTAACAGAGGGCTAAAGCTATAGCAAATGAGGGACTTGCAATGGAACAACATCTCCTTACCTTTTCATATTCTTCTAAAATCCCTTTCCTCTTAATGTTCTTCTTTGCTAGGTAAATTGCTGTAAAGGGAGAAGCAAATAAACAGTCAGTTATACTTAGACTGACAAATCCAAGAATAATTAAAAAAATAACCACATGACAAACACAGGAATCTTTGTCTGTTACGATATCTTCCTGGGATTATGGGCTCCAAGCTCATAAAAGCTCACGGAAGAAAAATGAACTTGGTGCTTTCACTTTGTTCCTGATGTGTCAGGAGCCAGTGCCCAGGCTGGGAGCAGCCAGGCAGAACAGGCAGTGTGTGCCTTCTGCCAGCAGTCACTCCTTCAGGAATTCAGCCAGGGTTTCACAGATCAAAGGACACTGGAACAAATCTTTAAGATGTTGAGGTTCTTCACAGTTTGACCTCCAAGTTTTCCAAAAACAGGACAGTGTTTTGTTATAAGTTCTACAAAAAACATTCCAATCTAAAATGGGCTTTTTTATTTCTCCAGAAAAATCTACAGCATAATGCAGACGAAACCCACAGAGGACAATCTTGGTATAAACAAATCAGTCTGTGAACTGCACAGCCCACAGGAACAAACCAAGCTGATCAGCCCAAGTTTCATGACCAGCCCTATAATAAAAAGCATTATAAAGATAACAAAAAACTGATATGGAAAGAACCGTCAGAAGGTATTGGGAGCCACCGTGCATTATATAAAGAAAGAACTATGTTTGAATGCAGGGCTAGATCCAAATCTACAGGAAGACAGTCTTGGGCTCAGATCCAGGGATACACTTAACTATTCAGGGAAATCTAACCTTGTGTTTAAAGTTTTCCCTACCCAGCAGAGTATTTCAGATGTGTTCCAGTCTGATGGATCTTAGTGGAATGTTAGAGAAGCATAAGCACTTTCATCAAGGCCACCACAAGGCAGTGACATTCACAGCGTTCCCTCAATTCAGCATTGCTGAGAATTATTCACAAAATACTATGAAACAAAATGCAAAGGCTGGTCATCACATGTGGACACACAGCACAAAAAGATGAACAGCAAAGATGGTGCGGGACTGTGTGCACAAACACACAGGCCTGCACTACACCTCCTAAACACTTACCGTAGTCTGTGTCATCAGCCGGCCAGCTCTGCGCAGGCCAGAAGTAAGGGGTCTGCAGAAAAAGCAGCCTTTCATTAGCGCACAGTGGCCTTGAACTCACACCAAGAGGCATGCAGCACCACTCACACCGGAGGGAGAGGAAACCTCAGCCATGCTCAGAGCCTCAGCTCCTTAGCTGTGTCTCAGCTCAAGCAGCAGTGCAGGTCAGCGACAGCAGGAGAATCAAGGTCAGCAGCCTGCCCGTGTCAAATCCACTCCAGCTCTGCAATCGGTTAACATGGCCAACCTCTTGCTGCTGCTTGTGCATTCAGACTGAGATGCTGGAGCCTGATTTGGCACCGTGGGGGGGACTAGAGTCCTGATTCAAAGTACCAACAAGGGTACTCTAATTTCCCATCATAGCGGAAACAGTCCAACCATGAACCTTGGTAACAGCCTGTTATTACTGTGCTTTTTGCATGCTTATTATTCAGTCTCCCCAGATCATTCTATTTTCAACCAGCGATTCCATTTGCTACTTTAAGACCTGGAAGGGAATGCACATTTGGAAGAAAGCACAACTACTTAGAAGTCGAACAAGTACGCTAATTTAGTTGAAGGAAGTATCACAGTTTCCCTGTAAATGTTAATATCTGACACACAGAACTGGGGGAACTGGCTTGAGGCTTCTCTGGATCCCTTCCTCCTGCACATCGAACAACCACCAGAGCTACACAGTGCGACCTCATGACTACAGCTCCGGGGGGAACTGCCCCAGCTGCCTGGTTTTTAAACTAGTGCTGAACTTCCTCTCAACGGCTTTTTTTTAGACAAGGTGCGACTCACTTGAAACCTGTACAGGCTGCCATCTGTCTTAAGGGTGAGATTCTTTGGCTCCTGAAGGGGGTAGATGTATCCGTATTTGACAAACAGGTCCCCCAGGTGGAGTGCCTCTGAAAACAGAGAAGGCAGACGTTTTGATTGCATGGAAACACTGCACTGGAATTTAAAAGTGAGCTGCTACTCAGGAGAGAGGAATTCATCTAAGAGGATTTGTCTATGGAGACTTTAAAGTTTTACAACTCAAAGCTGAAAAAGCCTCAATTTTTACATTTCTACCCACCTTCCTCAGTGATCTGCAAGCGTTGGAGAATCCACTGCAATATATCATTACCTGTAAAGCAAAGAGAACGTCAGGTGCTTGAAATTGAGAGTGTGCCAAAATCCATGGGCCAAAACGACAGCTCTCCAGTCCTCACCCCTCACTGTGCTCTGGAGCCCACCAAGTGCACAGACCCCTTCTTGTAAACATGCTTTCAAATGCACCACGCAAGAGAAGCAGAGATACAATGCCTTGCTGATCTCTCACTGGCCATGCTGCCGCTCAGGCTTTCTCCTCACCAAGCAGGCATCAGCCTCTGTGGAAGGGAGCCCACGGCAGGCGCTGACCTCAGGACGGCACAGCATGAGCGTGCAGAAGCACACGTGGCCTCAGGACGGCACAGCGTGAGTGTGCAGAAGCACACGTGACCTAGGCAACACTTAAACCCTCATCAGTGGCTTAGAAAGGACTTTGGCAATGCAACAGCTTCCACGCCCAGGGAAGGTGAAGTGCCCCTTGTCTTCAAAGATTCACTGCAAAGTATCTCCAGATTCACAGAGCATGATCCTGTCTCAGTTTTACTGTCACACCAGTGATGGGTCCTCTCAAGTTCTTTAAGAGACACGACTTTCAGTGCAGAAGGGATGTCTGAGTCTCAGATCCAAGTTGTAGTGGTAACAGGACATATCAAAGGGGAAGAAGATTTCCGCATCCACAAACACTTCATCTCTCCCAGTTGTTCTGGTGGGGTGTGGCCAGTCATACCAATCATCAGCATAAACCTCCAGCAGTTACAGTTTTATGTTCTGGTGGCAAATTTCCCAAATCTCCTTCCAAATGTGCTCATGCCCTCGACAATTATTGGCCTTTTCTTCCAAACGTCCCCTGGGATTGCAGATTGAGGTGTTGACCTTTCTTGACATTGCAGTGATGACTTAACTTTCTAATAGGGGCTCAGAGCTCTTATCCTACCCCCTGCTTCCTGAAATAGATTAAATTAAAGGATTATCTCATCACTCATTTCTAGACAGCTCTCTCTCTAAGCTTTTTTCCCCCCAAAGGTGCGCATTTAACATAGAGGTTTATTTGCCTTTTCTGTTGTAAGCCAGTTTCCTGACACTGAATTTAACTAGTTAGTTTCCTGCACGTGAAGAGCGGAGCTCTCTTCTGTGGATCTGTGCCCGCTGCTCTAATGCCTTCACCGTTCCCTCACTAAACATGAATCAGTCTCTTTTGCAACACCCAGATGCCAATCAGTACACATGCAACTTGCACAGCACTAAAAATATCATCATTTAGAGAGCAATGACTGTCATGCAAGGAGACTGGAACTCACTTGCCTACCAGAAGTTGAGTAGAATTTATGACTTATGCAAGAGGGAACTTGTAGCAATTCTGGTTGAGGAACCAGAATAAAGCAGACAGCACGCAAAGAGGACGAGCACCAACTGGCATCTTCCCTCCACATCATCTACCCATGGACTTTTAGGAAGTGGCATTTTACACTGGTCAGACATCAGGAGAAGTACTTGTTCCCCCTGCACTTAGTCTAGGTGGCATGTCATCTTCAGTACGGGGGAAACTTTTCTGCAGTGCTGCCTTAACTATTCACTAACAGCTATAGGAGGCAAGGCCAGATCCTTTGCAGATGTAAAGGACTCCATCAAATTCAGCTGCATGACAGATACGTAAGCCAGGGTATGGTTTGTACTGTAATGCAGAGAGTTGCTGCTGAAAACAAGCTGCAGATGTCATCCAAGTTCTCCTTACCCTTTCACTGATTGACCGTACCTGCAGGCAACTGACTTCATCTCAGTGCCTCTGCTTCCTCATTAAAAAAAACCAAACAATACACAGGCCCTACAGGGCTTCGCAAATATGGTGGGGAAAATTTAATCTATTTAGCTAAGTTTTCTCCTGAGTTGCCCGGAGCAAGCTCACTGGTTTCAGTGGGAGGTTTTGTTCTCAATTTCAAAGTGCTGCAGAAAGACTAAAGCAGAAGGAGGAAACTCTGGTACAGTATGTGTGAAAATTTATAGTGGAGGATCCCTCACAAGAGCTTTTGTGGAGGCTTGGACAACAGGGGAGCAGAGGTACCGACAGCACCCTGTGAAAGGAGCTAGGCACAAAGGAGACTGCGATGAGAGCTGCCTGCCATGCCATACGTGACACAGCACAGCTCCCATCTGCTGCTTCTTCAGCCTGCTTGAAGGAGGATAAGATCTCATTTAGAGGCAGAAGTGGGTTGAATATTTTGGTTTTTGCCTGCATACTGAAGAAAAATTATTCTTAGGGGAAAACATTAAAAGGGAGACTAATTGTTCATTGCTCATTTCTGAAGTACCATCTTTCAGTTTGACTCCAAATTGCCTATTTTAATCAGATTTTAATATTTATCTTTATTTGTGATCCAGCCTCACTGGAAACATGACAGGCCTGGAGGCTGAAGCACCTGCTCACCCCTAAGCCAAGAGAAAGCAAGGTCACTTGAGTTTAACTCACGTGAGACAGCTAACAGCGCATGATTATCAATCTTTGTGCCTCCGACTCAAAGGGCTAGGAGTGATATGAGACACGAGTGAGAATGAGATAAAGGGAGCAGGTCTGCCTCAAAGGATGTGCAACAAACATTTATTGGGAACACAGGCTCCAGTATGCACCCAGGCAGTGGTAACCCTGGGGTGGCCATGGGGTCCACACACAGCTTTTCTCTGATCAACTTCCTTGGCCCGGTCCCTTCGCCTGGCGAAGCTCCTACCTGCCACAGCATGTGGGATGGTGGTGATCATCACTCTCTGCGTCTGCGTCTTGATGCCCGTGTCTGGATTCTGCATCTCCACCATAAGCACTTCGATCTGCAAAGCACAGCAGGGATGGGATGTAGAACAGGAGGGGACAGGAGGGAGCCCCAGGACCACCGCAGCTCTGGGCAGCATCCCAGAGGGGTGTGAAGTGGCGTGCCACAGGAACGGATGCAATGGCCACAGTCCTCTCAAACCTCCCCTTTCCATTAGGGATGCCACCTCCAAACCATGTCAGCTCTCACGCTGACTCAGTGTCTCACTACCTCCTACAGAAGACACAGGCACAGCCAGGGTTAGCAGGCGAAGGACAGAATATAACCTGCAGCTGAGCTAACAAAAAAATAATTTAACAACAAAACCCCAAATCTCTGCTACCCATAAATGTTCTTCTCTGGCTCAGTGGGCTATTTGCTGGGGCAATATGAAAGAAAAAAGCAGAGGAAATAAAATCTGTGCTTCTATTGCACTAATACCCTAGCTGTGCACAAACTTGTAGATATTGCACCACGGACCAAGAAAATAAGTGATATTTCAGCTGGAGACCAAACAGCAAAGGTTCTGTTTCTGGTCTGCAGATAATAACCAGACAGGGCTTCAGAAGAGCAACAGGAAAAGCACACCACTTTGCTGTGGGGCTCAGCAAGAAGGTCAAACCCAGGGGAGAGGAGAATGGCTTGTCCTTTGAGAAAGCACAGCCACCACCCGAGACGAGGCTTTGAAAAGCTGGCCAAGGACCGATTAAAGCAGGGACCAGAATTTACATGCAGGAAAGCAGACTGCAAACAGAGCAGCAGAGCCCAGCTTGTAGGGAGGAGGTGTCCAAGGGACTCTCTGGCTGCACCCGCCCACCCAGGGTCTTAGCCCTGTCTGTGGGCAGCAAAACTGAGTCCCTCCGGGGACAGGCAGAGACACACCATCGGAGGCAACTCACCCTCCTATCTGGCAGCATCTCTGCCTTTGATTCCTGAGGGATGCTGACGACTCCTTTATAGACTCACTGCCTGAGTTTTGAACAGATCATGTTACAGAGGATGAGTCACCCTCAGGGCCAGACTTCTTTTATTTCTGGTACCCAATTATCTTTTTTTTTTTTTTTTAAGATGAAGATTTTAAAAGGTATTTTTCTCCTCTTATATTTGACTTCTTGCTAGCACCGTCCTAAAAGTGCAAGAGCCTTCTGCTTGCACTTGGGATCCTCTGCTCAGACGGGTGGAGTTGGGCACGCTCCTCATCTCCTCATTTAGATCATCTGAGTGCTGTGAGAGCATTGGCTTTGTGGAAGATGCTCTTCCTTTTGTCTTCTGCTTCCAGAGATATTAAATCAAAACTGGTCCAACAGGACCAATTTGGTCTCTCTGCACATTCATTTTGGGCGAGGCTGTAGCTTTTTAACTAGGATTAGAGGATTTAACGAGTGTGATTTGATGACACTCATGCATAATGAAGGGCATTGTCTTCAGAGGCACCACAGTGACTTTGGTCCTAAGTCTTGCCAAGTTCAGTGAGGATTTAAGCCTGTAGTGACAGGATGCACTCTGGGCTCGACTGTAAAAATGGATTTTCAACTGGTTTTAAAGCCAGTGTCAAATTAATACTAAAACGAGGAAGCCTGGTAAAATTTCACACAAATATTTGTATAAATATTTATATAAATATTTTAAAATAGCAAAACCAGACCCAAAGTGATGGAATATGAAGACTTTTAGACCTTTCAACTGAACCCCGATATCAGCTTCAGCAAGTTTAAGGTTGGGCATGGAGAGATGCCCATGTAGCTGTGAGAGAGGGGGCAAGGCTGGACAGCCCAGCAGGCAGGGCGCTAATTTAGGAAACTCAGAATAGTTCCCTCTAAGCAAACAAGGGTATCTTGGGGAAGTCACTCGCTCCATAACCACGTGTCTACTCTGTCGAGAGCACCTTGTCAGCACACGGGGATACCGAGGGGAAACACAGCGCTGCTCATCACCACCGTGCCACAGTGCCGTGACCACCGGGGAGGTCCCACCGGGCTCAAGCAGGATTTGCTCCCTACGCGTGGTACAGCACACCCTGCCCCAGCACGGGGCTGCCGTTCGCTCCCCGCTGGGCTCGAGAGACGGGTCTTCACCAGCTGAGAGTGAGGAATTGGCTCAGAAACTCCCACAGCCTCCCAGCACAGCATGTTCCCTCTCTCCAACAAGCAAAGGGCTCCAGACGCTTGTCGTGTTCATACCCCACCAGGCTTCCTCTTGTCATTGGAAAAATAATATATATTAAAAAGAACCAAGTGAGATGAGCCAGGGAGCTGCTCTTGGGGGGTGCCTGCTGCTCTGGCTGCAAACCATGCACGTTGCTGATCAGAACTCAGTTTGTCTCTTCCTCTTCTCCCAAGGGAACACTGCTGATTACGGTTGCTCCGCTGGTGGCAGGCTGGGAAGGCTGGTTAAAATACAGTGGGAACATTTGCTTGCTTTGCTAAGGGGTCTAGCACATTTTGTCATGCTTTCAGTCAGGGAAGCTCTGTCTGGTTTGAATTTCGTAGAGCCAGAAGCCACTTCCTGACACTGGTTGATGGGTGGAGACGCACACAGAGGTAAATATCACAGGAGGACTGCTAAAGGAGCTGGGCTCTGGGGTGAGCCACCACAAGGCAAGAGCCCCACCAAGGTCTCCCTTCAGATCAACCGGAATCTCTGCACAGAGGTGACCTCACCCTGAAAGCCACAGAGGAGACAACAGGAAAACTGTCTGCCCCCCATCTGATTGCAAGAAGTCAGCGGGTTCGCTGAATGCAAAGCAAAACTCAAACTCGCAAATGTTACAAAAAAGCATCACTGCATTTCAGGAGCGTGTGGGAAGCCCCAGGGAAGGTGAGGGTCCTCTCTGCAAATCATCAGCGGTTGATGGGGTGCCCATGGTTCTGGAGAAGGAGGATGGATCCAGCATGGATGTTCTCCCATGGGAGGGACCAGCGGGGGCAGATGCCTGCTGATGGATTACTTGGGTGAGTTACCCCGCGTGCGTTTCCCATCCTTGTTTCTCTGAGCTTTACACTTTGGGCACCCAGCAGCTCCCCAGGGTCAGGGCATCCACACCGCAGAAGCATCAGGCTCCAGGTGCTGAGACTCTGACAGACAACAGCAAAACACTTCCAAGGTGAGGAAGGAGTTCAGCCTCTCTCAGCATCAACCCAGGCAGAGGCCTCTCTGCTTCAGAGGCAAGAAAGACAAATTTTTCCCAGCAGGCTCCAGCTCACTCCTGGTGCTATGATTAAAAATCTGCTGCTTTTTCCATCCTGAGTATCTGCCCAGTTCTAGCCCCCTCACTGCCTGGTACTGTTTGCAAAAATCATCCCTCCCTGCTCTGATTTCCAAGGTAGCAATATAGTCCTGCATCACAACTCTGGCCTCAGAAGGCTAATTCAATTGTTTTCCAGGTCTACAACTAAACAATCCTGCTTTGCACATTCATGGATGTTCAGCAAAAAGAAGAAATGGAAAAAAAAAAAAGAAATTGTTAACCACCTAAAACTTCCTGCTTTTTTTTATTTAAAGCTGAGAGGAGGAGGCCTTTTCCCACCCAGTGCACTGTGATCCCACACCCAAAGGAAGTAAATCTGTGAATGGGGAGGGCAGGGCTGTAGCTGGCTCTTTCCATGTGCTCCCTCTTCCCTCACTGTGCTGCCATCACCTCTCCAGCTAAGCCTCCTACTTAAACCCACACAGCAGCAGAACCAAACCAAACCAAAGCCTGGCCGAGCACACCGCCTCTCACCAGGGCTGCTTGGAGCAGGTCACACTTGGTGTGATGCTCTGCAGAAATGCGTAACACCAATATCTCCCTGCCTGGGACAGGGAAAAGGAGGATGGGACGAGGCTGAGCTCAGCCCAAGGCTCAGCTCCAGCCACATCCAGGGTGTCACTTAACAGAGAGCAGGAGTCTGATGGATAGCTCCTTCCAAAAAAAAAACCCCATGATTCAGATGCTCGCACATCTCAAGATTTGTCCAGGCAGAGGAGGGTCAGCAGCTGCTGCAGAGCCTAAGCCTGGAGAAGCCCCCAGCCATGCTGTGGACCCCGGGCTGGTCCCTCCCCAGTTGCTGCACTGCCTCAGGAGGAGCCATTGGGGACCAAAGTGAGGAGGAGGCAGAGCAAAAAGGCGAGCGGCATCCATCAGCCCTACCCACGAAGTATGAGTCACGATGCAGCTCATGTAGCACAGCAAGGAAAAATACACAGCCCAGCAGCCGCTGGAGAGCACAACCCTGCCCGGCGCTGCCTCCTGCTTTGCCAGCTGATGCCAAACAGAGGTGAGATCCTGGCTACTGAGGCAGGCACAGGCACCGAGAGCTTGGGCTGGTTCAAGCTCTCCCAGCATCTGACCAAGTACATAACAGCCAAAATGCATTTCAGAGGCTTCCTCCCTGTCCCGACAATATTTGTGCCAATATCCCTCCTACCAAGACAGTTTAGGAGGGGAAAAAAATAGAAATAAAACAACCCAAGTGTTGGTCACGAGTATGTCATGGACAAGCAGGTGTTCCAGGGCCTTGGAAGAGGCTCTCCAATTCCTCCAAGGTTCAGCCATGAAGACCAAGCTCCACATCCAGCCCAAGCCGTGCAGAGCAGCCTCACAGCAAGTACACGGCACTGCCCCCACCCCCAAAACAACCCCCTCTCCTCTCCCTGCCCAATGGCAGGATCGCTGAGGTCACAAGCTACCTGCCAGAGAACCAGCGTATGGCGACACATCACAGCTGCAAAGATGCAACAGGGCCAGCAGCCTGACGGCACCACAGGAATCCCTCCGTGCGGCTGGCACAAACTCACAGTTACAGCATATGTGCCAGCCGGTGGCAAAGCTTGAGCACAGAATTAAGCAATTAAGAGAGCTTCTCTCTTGGATTCTCTTCTCTCTCCTCACAGATCTAAGCCTGCAAGGTGCTCACTGGATGCATGCTGAGCATCCTCAGCTCCCACCACAGTCAACCTGTAAAGGTGCTCGGTATTTCAGGGGAGCTCTGAGGGCACGGCCATCCGCATACAGACCACACTGCCATGTAATGGCCGAGG